GGGAATGTCTTTACATGGCCGTGGGGATACAAAGAGAAAGTCGATGAAGAGACTCTGTCAATGTTACTTAGGACCTAATCTCGGACCTAATGCCGTGTTCAGCTTGATAGAACAAATTCCAAAACCCCGGATTTAAAATGAATTAAGAGCCTCGCAAAAGTTAAAAAAAAAAGTTTATGGACCTCAAGGACTAAATTTGATGAGAATTTTCAAGGATCTCTAATGAATAATTTCAAGGGAGAACATCAAAATATGAATTTGGCTAAATTTGAGGATTCCTTTCGAATTAGTTCCGAGGAACTCCAGATTCAAGGTGACACGTAAAGAGAGTTCCAAGGTAGTTCGGTAGTTTTGAGTAGGATTCAAAAGTACATTTACAGGAGATTTTCGTGGAGCATTCATTCCAAGGCAATTCCGCAGAGAATATAATATTTTGTTAGAAAGATACTGAACTTGCAGCTCGGCAAAATCCAGCAATATTTTGCTGGCTAACGGCAATAAAAAATTGGGGTGTATGTACATTTTATTCTAAAGCTGTTCAGTAGCGATTTTAGATTTGATGCGAGAGTTTAAAAACCACGTATAATTCCTTCCCCTCACAATGATTCCAAACGTCACCAAGCATAGATTCTGACACTGCAGAAAGATAGCATACGAGCATATCAACCATATCAACAGCCGAACGCATACTTTTATGCAGCATCTCAGTACAAACACAAAATGCAAACAGCTCGTATACAAGCGCCCATGGCACTTATCAGTTTGCTATATGTATATGCCAATGGTGCGATGCGCTGGTAGTTGAACCGGGTGGATGGCTTTGTACGATTTGTATCCTTCCCTGGCAAGGATGTTCCGCACCGTTTGAAAGTTGGCATTGTACTTTCTGGCCACATTCGGATCGAAAGACCGGGGTTGGTTTTAACGCACCTCAACACCTTGCTGAGCAGCTGACGATCCCTGGTTCCAGTTATTTCGTAGGTCCGCTGATTCCTTTCCACACTCAGGGTTTCCTAGTAGGTTTTGAGCACTCGACAAACTGTTGTTTTCGGCATCTTCAGTACTTTAGCCAGCTTGTAACCGAACCACTCCGGATTTGCCAGGTGTTTGTGCACAATATGTTTTCTTCTTTCGAGTTCCATTTGACGTTATTTTTAAACGCGATCGACTGCTTTGATCGAACTTTCACCGGTTGTTCTCTATAGAAGTATAAACAAACCACTGTAAAAGATTTTCGATTACCAACACTAAAGGCGTGCTAGCGGCGCGCTAGGGGCGTTCCAATTTACTTGTAGTCAGCCTTCAGGTGCACGAATCAAGAAGACCAAGGCTGCTTCTGCGAGTTTACGAAATCTATGGAGATCTATGGACATGGGATGTATCAGCGTAGAATACTCAAAAGCTGCAGGTTTTCATCAACGGTATATAAGTCGTACCTGGTGGCCTCACAACTGGAGCTCCTATGCTGAGCTCCTTCGCCGATGTCATTATAAACCGAAATGAACAGAAATTTGAGATAGTAGGTGGAGGTGGATCTACTACACACTACGTAGGGCGGAATAGAAATCTGTAATCTGGACACCGGCAGAACATTGCAGCAAAGGCAGACCAAGGGGCTCATGGTGGCAGACCCTCAACAAGGAAATAAAGGAAGTCTACAGGAGTCTAACCTGGGCCCACGTCAAGGCAAAAGCGAGCAGCCACCCAGGATGGAAATCCCTCACGTTGACCCTATGCACCTCTAGGGGTGTTCAGCATAAATGAGTGAGATCCCTGCTTCGCTTAATTATTTATTATATGTGTACATTAGACTGATGCAAAATTTGACTTTTTCGCTCCACAGTGCTTAAATGGTTTCAAATCGGGTCCTGATTAGCCTCCCAAAACTACAACTCATTTGGTTAGAAACAGACTTCGCACAAGCCATTTGAAGTTTACATGTAAATTACTATATGGGAAATCTCAACTTTTTGTTCATTGCCTTCTAGTCTTTTTTTCCATATCGAGCTGGGAAACAGTTCGATAGCCATTATTTAAGAAAATTTTCTCAGCTACAACTTTACTGAAGATCGTTTCTATGTAAAACGAGACAGAAAAAAGTTTTTAATTATTTAAGAGATTGGTAAACTTATGCCACGATCAAGCAGCTGCTCTGTAGGCAACACTGTATTTTGCAGTGCGACATAGTAGCCATGATTTTTGTGTCCTTTTCAACGCCCCAGAAACACCAATGTTGCCTGCTGAGCAATTGATTGAGCATGATCATTAGACATCAACGCATTGAACCATTGATAACTTTTGATCCTTGCAAAGTTGTTGCAAAGTTGTAGCTGGGAAAATTTCTTACAAGTACAGTTGAAAGCATTTGAAGCAGACCGATATGGTGAATTATTAGATAGACATGAACAAAAATCTTGGTTTTACCATAGTAATTCCCATACAAACTTCAAATGGTTTGTGCCATCTCAGTTTCTCACCAAAGGGGTTCAAATTTTGAGAGGTTAGTCAGGATCCGATTTGGAATCGTTTAAGTATTGTGGAGCGAAAAAGTCAAATTTTGCATCAGTCTAATGTACATGTAAAATGGCTCTAAATTTTTGCATCTGGAAAATACAAATGGATATTATTGGTTACTAATGAAAAATTTATCCATTAAAGCTTTGTTTTGGAATTTAAATATTTCAGAAAATTCACTTGGAATTTTCCTTAAACTCTCTACAAATTATTTTCTAGATACCTTTGGAAATATTCTCGGAATTTACTTAAAACTCTTTGCATACTTCCTTTGGAATTATACCCTCAGAAATCGATTTCATTGAAAATTTTCAAGGATCCTGTAATGCTTTTCACATTTGTCATGGAATTTCCCACAGAGCTAATTAAACATTTACTTTGATCTCTCACTTTTGGCTTGACTTTGAATTGAATTGACTTGAAGATCTAATCAAATTTCTCGTTTAGTTTTTTCCCAAACTCCATTGAAAATTTTCTCTGACATAGCTTGCTGTTATCCCTAGAATTCATTCTTAAATCCAAGTCCAAGTCCAAGAATCTTGAGCTTATTCCATTGTCGAAAATATTTTTTTTTTCTTTTTGAAAGGACGCTGTATATTTTTACCGATTTGTCATCGAAATTCACGGATTTGTCTGGCTTCTTGGGAGGAATTGAGTAAAGTAAAATAGCGTTTAGTCCGTTAGATCGACGACAAAAGTAGAACGAATTTTATTCAAATAAGTCATGGCTAACTTAGACCTATATTATTTCCACCGACAAACCGACATGAATGATCATACAAATTACAGAGAAATTTCTGATCAAAGCGCAAAACTGACATCTGCCGCCGTGTTCGCGGAAAATATTTATCCTAGCCACGAACATGCGTACAACATTTATGAGTTGGTTCGTGTTTAACCTATTTCGGACGAATTATTTTTATCTAGACAAAACATTTCTATGGTTTTGACAGATGAGATCGCTGTACATTTGAATCGGCTGTTATGGATCCTCGATCAAGAGCTCCATGTCGGTTTGTCGGTGTTATTTCTACACTGCAGCTCTTCACGTTGCTAAATGCACCGCTTCATGGCTATCGTCTATTATAGCAATCGTACGTATGACAAACATCCGTATGGCTAATGTCCGGTCAACCATGGAAAAATCAATCAAAACACATCGAGTAAAAGAGGTATCGAGTGCGGAAGAGTTGGTCATATGTATAAAGAAAAGCAAGGTCGTAGTATTCTATGAATGCATTGGTGTAACAACATCCTTTAAAAAGTTCAAATTCAAGAACAACATGTGAAAAGGGCATGCAAGCTTTTTTAAACAAACCATCTTATGCCGTTTTCTCACCACCCATATGACACCAACATAAACCAAACACATCACCGGGAAACTTTCCCCTTCCCGATTATGTTGTTGATTTGCGTGAGCGACCCTCGATTGACGAGAAAAGGGCCTACAAAGGTTTGTTTACAAAAAACTTGCCCTTTTCACATATGTCTCTTGAAACGTTCCTGAACGGATATTCTTAAAACATCTCATCCCTCCACTGCCCCATCGCCTAGGGAAAAAAAATGCGCACCGTCACCACGTGCGCGTTCCAACCACCCAACTGATCCACGCGGTCCACCCACCGCACACACAACAATCAACCCACTGATCTACTCACAGCTGGGCCAAGCAGAAAGACGATCTCAACTCACAGCAGATCTCAGATACCAACTACACCCGCACCAGACCATGCCCCTGCCAAGCGACCATCGCCAGGCCGGTCGACGAAGAAAGGGGAAACACCTTTCTTCTCTTCGGTGGCGACGACGACGACGAGGACGGTTCCTCTCTTCTGCTGCATGTCTCGAGCCAAAGCCTTGGAGCAGCAGCAGGGGAGATAAAGTGAACGCAAATGTTTACACTCCTCGTCCAACGGGCGGCTCTTCGGAGGTGGTTGGGATCGCGGTCGCGTGTGCCGTCGTTCGTTCGCTCGCTCTCTTCAGCAGCATCGGTGGCAGCCAGTAGTGAGAGTGATGGTAAACCTACCGGCAAAATCCGCACAACAGCGGTAAGAGTTCTGTTTTATTTTGTTGGTGTTGTTGTTTTGGGTGTCTGTTTCTGTTTGATCGACCGCATCCCCCCTCGAAGAGCTCGAGCTGAGCCAGATGAACCCCGGAGAAGATCGCGGGCGCGCGCGCGCGTGCACGTTTCTGGGGGGGTTGCTTCCTCGCTCTCCGCTCGCCGGAGCCAGCCACTTTCGGGAGTCCCAAACTCGGATTGGAACTTCTTCATTCCGCGCTCCATTAAGGGTAAGTTAAGGGTATAAATGCGATTACGCCGGATCGGTCCAGCATCAGTCATCTGTTTGCATTTCACGGACCAACATCATCGGACCGCTAGGTAGCGAGTCCCAACCAAATCCGCAAACCGAACGAACGAATTCGAAGATCCTTGATTTGTTTTGATTGTTGTGATCTTTTCGAAGTGAGTGAGTGAGTGTGTGTGTGCACCGAAAATAAGGAACACACGCAGAACAAGGATGAGGGCCTTTGTACTGTTGAGCTGTTGTTTGGCTCTGACTTCCGCTCGGCCGGAAGCAGGATACTCATATAACCGTCCGTCGACAGGCGGAGGCTCTCACGGAGGCGGTGGCGGCGGCGGCGGTGGCTACTCGTCCGGTGGCCACGGAGGTGGAGGCGGCGGTGGTGGCTACTCGTCCGGTGGCCACGGAGGCGGTGGCGGCGGCGGTGGTGGCGGCCACGGTGGAGCATCGTTCAGCTCCGGTGGCGGCAGTGGATTCTCGTCCTTCGGCGGCAGCGGATTCGGAGGTGTGTTAAGTGAAAATCGTTTTACGGACTGAGAGTGAGCGAGGACACACTCGTTGGTGAAACGTTGAGTGGCTTGTTAGAATCAGTGAATGGAATTTGTGGAACAGGACTATTGGGACAGACTGTTAATCTGTGACTTTGGAAGCAATTGTGCTGTGTGGGCGCAGTGAAATGACTCGTAGTGATTTTGGGTGTTCTAATTTTCAAATTTCAATTGAAGGTCTTTGAGTGTTTGAAGCTAATGTAAATCGAAAAGTGACGTTTTGACCGGTCGAGCAGAAACTGAGTTCAAAATTTAATGAGGAAGGTGAAATGGGTTCACGTTGAAGATTGGTTTCCAACAGATCAACAGCATTGTGAAGTAGAACTGACTGTTGAAGCAGTTTTAGTTGATCTGAAGTCAATTTATCCTAATGGTACTGTCAATTCAACAAACAATTTTAGCTGATGACTGTATGAGCTAATTTGCTGCTACAATTGTTAGTTGGGAGCTCTAAACAACTCGATCTTCTAGGGTGGCTTGTTCCTTCACCATGGAGTTTGGGCGAATTAACTGTATTTCAATGATACCTTTGAAAAATCTGGTTTCCCTTTATCGTTTCAAAAGTGACAGATGCGACACAAATGGCCGCTATTTTGGTTCGATTTTGTGATGGCACGAATCTCAGAAACTTTAAGGATTTCGTGTTCGAAACTGTAATCGTTCTTTTGCTGAACTGCCGCATACATGTGATTGCTATTTCCTGCATGAAATCTTTATAGTTTCTGAGATTTGTGCCATCAAAAATTCAAAGTGGCAAGGCAAAAAATCAAATCAGTAGCCATTTGTGGATTTTATCAACACTCACCGTAAAGGGGCTACTTTTCAGAAATTGGTGGACAAGAAAACATACCTAAAGGCGGTATATCTCTGAATCCAAGCCAAACTACTTTTCATGTTTTATCATGGTTTTAAAGCTCTGTTCTGGTCTTCTTCTTCTTCTTCTTAGCTTTTAAAGCGAATTGCTTATCGCATATTAGCTTATTGTGTGCTCTCAGCTTAGTGTTCTAGATGCACTTCCACAGATATTAATTGAGAGCTTTCGATACCTGTACCATTATTGCATTAGTGTGATTGTACTTTATACCCAGGAAAGTCGAGAAATTTTCCATCCCAAAAAAATCCTAGACCAGACCGGGAATCTAACCCAGCCACCTCCAGCATGGTCTTGCTTTGTAGCTACGCCTTTTCCGACTGAGCTAAGGGAAGCCCCTGTTCTCGTCTAAATCGTGGTTTTCCACAGTAGCTAGTGCATAAATACATGCTCAACAGAAATTGAAGCTGATTAAAAGCTGAGTTACCTTCTTGTTAGCTGAATAAACCAATTTTAGGCTGAATAATCTGCTATTCAGCTTCAAGTTTTTGTTGAAGCTCATCATCAGTAAAATTGCAGCTATCTGTGAATTCCATCAACTTGGAGTAACCTCTTGAGAACCTCAAATTTCTGATGAAAAACTGTGGAGAATCGTCATAGTTGGTGTGGAAAAGAATATCAAGCCCTTGCAGAAAAATTACTATTATTATCTTCAATTGTTAGGAGCCATGCGTAAATTATGTCACCCTCCTCTGTTTTGTCACGTTTTTCCAATACCTCTTGTAATGCTTGTCAGAAAATCTAACACTCCTCCTCTTCTCTTAGAGTGTGACATGAAATATGTGACCAGTGTTGGAAAAATATCAAAACATCACGCTTGATTTTCGCAGGCAAAAATCAACATGCAAACAACTGCGGTTGATTTTGCCAGCTGTGAAATCACAGTTCAGAATATCCAGCTAACACAACTCACCAGCTGCAAATCTCACCAAAGTGTGGTGAGATTGAGTTTCATGATTTTTGCTTTCCACCCGAACGCAACCGAAACTTCCATTACGGCTGGCAGCAGCAGCTTCGTGTCTACCATCGGTGAGGACAAGAAAGAGGTAGCATTATTATACCTTCTCTTTTTAAGAAAACGATGCTCAATGGAATGAGTTTTGCGTCGATTCAACTCTCAGCTTCAACTTTGCACGTTGTGAATAGTCTCGCATTATCAAAGGAGCTTGTAAAATCAATATCAAGCGTGATATTTTGCACCAATGCAATCTGACGAATACAAACAATAGGGTTCAAGCTGCCCAACGTTTCGGCTGTTTTTGGCAGCCTTCTTCAGGCCAAAAACTGCCAAAACGTTGCACAGTTAAAAACCTATCGTTTGAGCTCGCCAGACTGCAATAGCCAAAACTTGTACAGTCCAAGTAACAATTCTGGTTTTGCGGGTTTTGCGAGGGATTGGTAGACCGTGACTTAGACTTGTAGATTTTTCTAAAAATATTGGGTCAAGAGATCATAACTCTAAAAGAAAATTATTTTTTGTTTTTATTTTTCTAATGAAAATTTATGCCCAAAATTGTTTTTTTATGGCATCATGGCACAAATTTGGACTCAAGCATTGACCATTCAATTTAGTTTAAAGCCCAAAATTGTTTCATGGTGAGATAGTAAACATATTTGTTCAGGTATTTTTTCTGGAATCAAAAGAAAGAGCTGATTTTATTGGATGATCGATATCTTTTTCCAATATTTTTAGAAAAATCAAAACGTGTCAGATTTTGTACGCTGTCAGCTACCCCTTAAACTTTGCGGACATTCGAGGGGTGCGACACATCTAAATCTAATTTTGGATGTTTGAAAAATCTCTTTCACTAGCAAATCAATCTTCGAAAAATCTTTGTTCATCTCTTGCTGTAGATGGATTTAACTCGCATCGCTCTCCATCTTTTGCAGGAAATCTATAAAATCTTCATCAATCTTCTTTCTATCTACCAAGCATACGCGCATCTCACAACAGTAAAGTAAACAAAAATCTTGCGTCTTTGTAAGAGTTGCCTCCCTCGTTCTCCTCGAATCATTCTATTTATGATGGGATGTTGTGCAAATGTGATGATGCTAATGGTCTACCACCTAGGTCTGATAGCAGTGAGGTCTCTTCTCTGATTGACCTCTTTTTTTTTCTTAGCTTATTGTGTGCTCTTAATTTAGTGTTCTAGATACACTGCCATAGTTATTAATTGAGAGCTTTCGATGCCTGTACTTGGTTGTCAAGTAAAATCATACTCTGTGCCTAGGGAAGCCACCTCCAGCATGGTGGTCTATAGAACCCTCATAAAATCAAAATTGTTGAGCTGCCAGAACAGGCCAATTTTTGCCTGTACAAGCAGTTCTGCAGCAAAAATTGAAGATATTTGAAGTACTGAAAAGTAGTATTAATCAGCTCTCAAGTCCTGAACCTCTAAAAGAATCAAAGAATTTAGTTTGAAATGAACTCTCATCGGAACACAACTCTTTTAAGGTCTTCAGACATCTCAACTAGCAACTTTAGCAGGAGAACTGCTTGTTCTGAGCTAAGTATTGTGTTCAAGAGTCCTTGAGGTCAGTGGAGGAACTTCTAGAACTTCAATTGTAATTTCGTACCCGTTGAATCGCATCGAATTAGTCTGTAGCGTTGCTCCCGACTATGGACCTACTGGAGTTCCTTGAAGGTGGAGTGTATTAACGCTTGGAATCCTGTGGACTACCCAAGTAACTAACAACAACTCCATTATTTGATTTGTTTTTGCAATATTAGGCTAGTAACATTTCAAGTTTTATGGTGGTTTAAAAGAATGCTACAAGTCTAAATAATGGTCTGCAGAACCTTCATAAAACCAAAATGGTTACCTGGGATTTGTCCAAAACGGAAATTCTTGAACTCGTTGGCAACTTGGATAATTCCTAAAAGACTGATTACTTGCCGAAAGTTTTTAGTAACCCCTTTAGAACAAGTCATGGGGATCAACATCCCAAAGGTTGTCATGACCCACAACTTCTGTGGTGCAACCTGGTATGCCTTGAATGCTTAAAGCAGCTTCTCTCATACGTGTAGCAGAAATCCATGAGTTCTTGGAACTCTAAATTCCAGTGGAGACGGCCTTTAAAGGCTGTGGAGCTGCCTAACCTGATATGTGGAGTAACTCTTTAAGTAATTGTGCCACCAATCACTGTGAAGAAGTCTACCCAACAAATATTGCATGTAGAATAAAAGCTTATTCAGGCAAAAAAATACACGCAAAACAAATTTCTCTTACATCCAATGTAATGTCAGTTCTTGCCATGGACTTGAGCGTACAAGCAATCTCTTCCAGAATGCAGATTTTAATTTAAAACCTTCACGTGATGATTTTCTACACGTGAATCATTTGGGGAAACAAACTTTGTCCGAAAATGGAGCTAACCTAAAAATTAGAAAATTATTCAAAAACCCTCCTGATGAACATATTACAGATTCTGTTCATGTCAAAAAATGGCAAATTCTGCTTACTTTTCATGCAAATCTGTAATAGAATCTTACATTTCCCGGTTGGTGTACGCTTCTTCAACAAAAAAAATACTTATTCAGCCGTTATCCAGCCATTACTCAGCTCAAATTGTTCGTTGGGTAGTGTTTTTAGGGTGCCCGAGGTGAAACAGCCATGCAAAACAAGTATAATTCTAGATGTTCCGACTTTCTCTTACGTTAATAACTCAGCCGCAAAAATAAACCTGGTCATATTTGACGACGGCGGATATCAACCTTCTTTATCAAACTATGTGGCGAAAATAGCTCGAAATCTATTTGCATAGCCGCGGTTATCAAAAGGAAAACTCCATGAAGAGAAACAATGAATGCAGATAGGACCTTTTGAAATGTTCATCTAGAATTAGCTGCAATAGAAACTGACCGCCAGTTTCGAGCTCAATTTCATCAAAAACAATCTAGAGTAATGACCTTTGGAATTCAACAAATTCAATTCTCCCATCAACTACCCAATTCGATCCTGTCAAAAGTTTTCGCATTAATGAACCACCCATGTTACTGTACTTGCCGTTCGATTTTCAATCTAATTACAGCACACTAATGCAAAATTTTCTCATACAATGTTTCCACAATCTATGCCACGCTGCATTTTGCCTTACCAACAGAACAACAAACTAACCTCCCCGCTCCCTTCTGCGCACTTCATGCCACAGTCAATTCGCAAATCTCGTTATTATTTTGATGATTGCCTACACATCATAGGAGCCGTCGCGAATTGATTACTACGTGCCCCCGTGCCAACGTGATTAGCATTTCCAACTGATATCAAGCCACAGTTCCCCACATTACATTATGACAACCACCATGCCAGTAACTCACGTCCCCACGTATTCTTGCTCCAGGTTCATCCTCGTTCAGCTCCGGCGGTTCTAGCAGCTTCGGAGGCGGCGGCGGCGGCGGCTTCGGAGGTGGTGTCAGCAGCTTCGGAGGCGGCGGCGGCGGCGGCTTCGGAGGAGGCGGTGTGAGTAGCTTCGGAGGCGGCGGCGGCGGCTTCTCCGGTGGATCGCAACAGGCCATCATCCAGAAGCACATCTACGTGCACGTTCCGCCACCAGAGCCAGAGGAGGTCCGCGTCCAGCGACCACTGCAGCTAGCCCCGGCCCAGAAGCACTACAAGATCATCTTCATCAAGGCCCCATCGGCTCCGGCCTACCAGGCACCACAGATCCCACTGCAGCCCCAGAACGAAGAGAAGACCCTGGTCTACGTGTTGGTTAAGAAGCCCGACGATCAGCAGGACATCATCATCCCAACGCCAGCCCCAACTCAGCCCAGCAAACCGGAAGTCTACTTCATCAAGTACAAGACCCAGAAGGAAGGCGGCCAAGGAGGATACTCCGGAAATGTTGGCGCCAGCTTCGGTTCCGACATCAGTGGCTCTGTTGGTGGTCATGATGGTGGCGCTGGACACGGAGATGACATCAGCGGAGGACACGGAGGCACGGCCCCGGCTGCCCAGTACGGACCACCCGGCAAGTCCGGCCCATACTAATCGAACGGAACATTCTGACCATTGAACGGATTCCGGACCACGTAGCTAGTCGAAAACAAAACAAATCAAACGCATCCAAGTGGTAGTTGACACAACCCACAAAAGCACACATACAAACACAAACACATACAATCACCTTGTTATTTGTTGACTTTCTGCCGAGGAGGTTCCGATTTGGCGCTCGATTCCCGCGGTCGCTTACTGGAGAGAGCGCGCGCCGGGAGCCGCAAACCGGAACGCCGAAGCCTCTGTTGTACATAGGATTTCTACTTCACAAAGCGAAGAAAGCAAATTTTCTTAGGACGTAGGAATTATTTTTACAACTTATTATTATTAATTGTAATCTTGTTTAATGTTTTTCTTAGAAAAGATATGCAAATTAAAACGGTGACAAATTTTTAGAAAAAAAAATCAGCCAATCTTTGTTTTCCTGTCGTGCGTGACCCCAAGGCGAATGATGACGTAAATGAACCGCTGATTGGGATTATGCAGCCGGTGCTTAAGACAGGTGAATAAAAGTGAACTTTTACTTTTTTTTTTGTTGTTTGCGTGCTGTTACGTCGTCGTTGCGGTTGCTGGTTGCCTCGGGAGGAAAGACCAAAAAAATGCAGCCTGGGATTAAACGCAGCTCTGATGTGGTGTGGATGAAAACTGGATGCTTTGCGGTTGGCGGGGTTGTAGTTTGGATTGACATCGTTCGAGGTATGAATCGGGATGATTTTTTCTGTTTTCAATTCAGAAGGAAATAGTAATGCTGCTGACAATCGCAGCAACCAATAGGGTCTTGAAATCAACAAAAAAAAATCTACCGTAACATAGGTATTAGAATCGAGTTTCACACGTCTTGCCGTCTGTGACCGATAGCCATCCACACAAGCTATCTCACCTGTATAAAATATTCCCAGTCGATAGAACTCGGCTCGATCTGGCTCGACAATTTGATTACGACATCGTAGAATCTAATTGAACATGAAAAATCGGCCCGGCAAGATGGAATTTGCTGATGTCTATGGGCGCGTTTCATCTGCACTCAAAAATAATATTATGCACGCATACATTAAAACTTAATCATTTCCAATTAAGCGATAAATAAACGATGCTTTGCATAAAAAAATAAACTATAGGTTCAATAGTTTTTATACTAGAAGTGAATAAGCGAACAGTAATCGCCACATAGGCTTAACTTTGTCTGTCTCTAACTCATTACAAAAAAGTATAAGATGGAAGGTTGAAATCAGCAACAACCATTTAAAGAAAATTGTTAAAAATTGGGTTTTAGTTTGATTTCTGCGTATATTAGGTGAGGAACACTTCTGCTGTTAATGGTATATCATATTAGATTGAATGATTGATTTGTTTACGATAGAAATGGTTTTACCTTTACTCATAATGTTTTTTTTTATCTAGTTCGTTTATTTTTAAGGCTCAATCGCGTTAGCTTTACGGAGCCGATAGTTAATTGTTCTTTGTTTGTAACAAAATTCACTTAATTCTATGTCTAGTAGGAGCTGAGCCGAATACTCGCGGCTTACTCGAGGTTAGAGAGGTAAATTGTCGAAGGATAGGAAAAGGGGAGGAGCTTGGGGGTAGGGTTTCGTTGTCTTATCAGAGTGATGTCGCCAGTATGAACGGTAGTGTGGTTCTAGATTCGTCTGGAGTTCGACCGGCTATGGTGACCAGTGGGCGACGATGAGACTCATCGAGACGGGGGGACAAGACAAACAAAAACTAATAAAAAGATACAAAAGACAAGCGAATTAAATTCTTATACTAGACATTTGCAGAAACACATAAATCGACTGCATATAGCAGAGATCGCGGGTACCCAACACGTCTCTGATAGGGATATAGGGTTGTCTTCCTTGGGCCTCGAGGGTATTCAAAAGTCGCTCTCTGGCGGCGTCATTATCCCTTACATTGCCAAACTGCGTGATCAATGTCATCGTAACCGTTTCCACACCGACAGACACTAGCGTGCACAGGAATCTTGTTAAGGAGGGGCATTTTTTTTTCTATGGTGTATTTAATCTGGGGATAGGGTGTACTTCAAAGTGCGTGGTGGATGGTGCTGTCCATCCACCACTGTTTCGCTACTGTTCAATTTAGCTAATTTTATTAATTTTTTGCTTCGGTGGTGTTTCATCTTCTGCAATGCACACTGCTTTCAGACAGCCAATGAAATTGGCAATTCAATCTCATCGATGATGTCGATAATGGTCGGTTCGTCAAATGGTAAACCGAAATGATACATTTACTGCAATGTTGTTGCCTTGGTGGTTGGATTCAGCTGAAGTCACATCAGATGGTGGTGATAGCAGCGACAAACCGACATAAATGACCAATAAGAATCGCATTCTCCTTTCGCAGAATGTCCACGAAGTGGTCGGTCACCTTTGCAAAGTATGCGCACAATATCGATGAAACTTTCCATTATATAGCGATTTTGTAGCCGCTTTGCCTTATACCTTGTACAGACTATGACTTATATTATATAATAAAGGAAGTTTTCACTGGAAATCCTATATGTGAGTGCTCATTGCAAGACAGTCTATATAACATGATATAAGTCAACAATCTAAAAGCTGTATTTAAACTTTGTACAGTTGTGAAAAAGTCTATCCTCAGAATTCCTTGAGGTTCTTTTCGAAATTTTTAGAAATCTATGAGCTCTTTTGAAATACTTCTCAATTTGAAATTATTTTTAGAACTTCTTGACTTTTACTCACAACACCTTGGAACTAAAATTCCCTAAGACTTTCAGAAGAATTTCCAGAAATTATTCCCGGAATGAGCTAAAAATTATCCCTTGAAATTTTCCTCAAAATCCCTTTGGAATTTCACTCAAAATTTAATTTTCTCGGTATTCTTTTTGGAATTTACTTGGAACTATCTGCAGGATTTACTAGAAATTATTCACAGAATTTTTTGGAATACTCCCCAGAAATCCTTTGGAACTGTCTTTAGAATTCAATTTCCTTGAGGTTGTTCTTCACGGATTTTTTTAGAACTCTCCTAAGAGCTCTTTTGAAATTCTTCTCAGAGGTCCACTGGAATTATACTTAGAACTCTTCATGATTTTTTCTCAGAACACCTTGGAACTGAAATTTCTTTAGAGTTTCGAAATTTTTCCCGTAATGAGCTAGAAATTATCCTTATAATTTGCTTGAAATTTTGCTTAAAATCCCTTTTGAATTTCATTTAAACACTGATTTTTCTCGGTATTCTTTTCGAAATTATCTTGGAACTATCTGCAGGATGCTCTAGAAATTATTCGCAGAATTTTCTTCGAATTCTCCCCAGAAATATTTTGGAACTGTCCTAAAAATTCAATATCCTCGGAACTTTTAAAATTTTTATTTCAGAACACCTTGGAACTGACATTATCCTAATTTTTCAGAAGAATTTCCTCTGTATTCTCCAGAAATTCTTTTCAGAATGAGCTAGAAATTACCCTCGGAATGTCCTTGCAATTTTACTCAACATCCCTTTGGAACTTCATTCAAAATTTGATTCTCTCGGTATTCTTTTCAAAATTAGCATGGAACTATCTGCAGGATTCACTAGAAATTATTCGCAGAATTTTTTTATGAAATCATCTCCAGAATTTTTTTCTTTTGAAACTGTCGTCCGAATTCAATACCCTTGAGGTTCTTCTCGGAAATGTTCAATAAAGCTAGCCCCTCCATTCACCAGAACTGTGCAATTTTTACATGAAGAATGCAGCAGATTGTTGCAAATCTTACACCAGAAACTTTCAATACAAACTTGCCCCCAGGTAATTTTAAACCAAAAAATTTCAAATGACCAGAACGATGCAAATTTTCCACCGTCAATGTTAAAAAAAAAATGCTTCTCCAATCTTCTGATTGGTGCAGATTTCCTTTTTCCACCAGACATTTTCAATATAGATTGCTTCTCCTATCATCAGAATGTTGCAGGTTTTCCCCTAAATAAAGATTGCCCCTATTTTCAGATTTTTTATCATAAATCTACAGTAAAGCAGCTTCTCTCCAACCATCAGAATGGTGCAAATTTTTACACCAGAAATTATTAGTAAAATTTGTTTCTCTATTCAACTAAAGGATGCAAAATTAAGACCAATAATTTTCCGAAAAGCTTGCAAATCCTTTCACCAGAAATTTTCAATGTAGCTTAATTTTAAATAAAGCTTGTGCCTTCATTTACCATACCAGTACAAGTTTTCCACCAGAAATATTTCGTCCATTTCATTTATCAGAGCGATGCAAATTTTGCACCAGAAATTTTTAATAAAGCATGCTCCTCCATTCACCAGAACAGTGCACCAAAATTTGTCAGTGAAGTATGTTTCACCATGCACGTTTGTGGTGCAATTTTCAGGTTCTACCTCATCATGCACCAGAATGGTGCAAATTTTCCATCATTAATTTTCAATGAAGCTTGCATTCATCAGAACGATGCAAATTATGCACCAGAAAAATAAAGTAGCATTCTACAAGTCTAAGCCGCGGTCTACAGAACCCTTATAAAACCAAAATTGTTGCTTGGCTTGCTTCTACATTCATCACAGTGTTGCGAATTTTCCACCAGAAATTTTCAGTTAAATGTAAACCTCCAAATTTTTAGCGTGATTCAATTTTTCCACCAGAGTTATTCTTATTGATTACCCAGAAATATACAATAAAAAGCTTTTTCTTCGATTTACGATTTACGAATTTTTTCAACCTTAAATTTACCCTCTTCTCACCATCTCAAAGGAATTGACGCAATAAAAGGTTTCCAGTGCTCTTATATTATGAAATGATATTATTTTACCTTCCAATCAAGTTATAAAAGAAAGTTATTTTATATTATTATTTTGTAAACGTGGAAATAAAATTCTTAGTTATAAAAGGTGGGACAATTGCCCCACCTTGCCCCACCCTGTGCACGCCAGTGCCGACAGATGTTGCTGTCCACGAGGTTTATTCTATTGAGATGAGCATCTAGCGAATAGTGGTTGGACCAAAGTCTACTCATCACGCGAATGAAGTCACGACTTAAGCCCAAACCTTTAAACCACGCTCTCGAAGAAACATTAGGAATAATTGAATGT